TCTTCTCTTCTTTTCTTTTCTTTTCTTTTCTTTTCTTCTTTTCTTTTCTTTCTTTTTCTTTTTCTTTTTTTTAAAGTTTTGAAGCATTTTCGGTTCTCTTTCTCTCTCTCTCTCTCTCTCTCTCTCTCTCTCTCTCTCTCTCTCTCTCTCTCTCTCTCTCTCTCTCTCTCTCTCTCCCCCCCTCTCCAGGCTTCTGAGCCCGAAAGCGGCGCAGGCGGCAGCGACCCGGGGCGGAGAGAGCAAGGACAAGGGATTTAAAGGGAAAAAAGAGAAAAAAATTGACTTTCCTAATGGAGGAAGTGAGGGATGGAGAGAGCTCAGTGGCATAAGCACCTGCCTGGTAAGCACAAGGTCCGGAATTTGATCCCCAGTACCACAGAAAAGGAAAAAAAAAAAAAAAGAAAAGAAAAGAAAAAAGATTCAGATTAAATGGGGAATTGAAGAAAGCTTGGAGGGAGAAGGGGATAAAAAGTATGTACTACAAGCATGTACTAATAGAAATACATTAGAAAAATTAGCTCTACATTTTCCTCCATACCAGGGCCTCCTTTATGCTAGGCTTTCTCTCTTGGCCTTGTCCACGCACACTCCTCCGAGTTGATCTTCTTTTTAGACTGGATCCTGAATCTCTTGAAGACATAGCCAAGGCATCAACTTCACCATTGGATTCACAAATTTCATTTTCTAACTCACTATCATTTCCTTGTGTCTAAAACAAATCAAGAAATATGCACAAGCTGGTTAGGCTGTGTTAGTGAATGAAAATTAATTATCAAACATCAGATACAAATGAAATTATAATTTAATTCACTACAGGAAAGTTTGACATTAAACTGTTATTTCTTTTCTAGGGCTGGCCAGATAGCTTAGCAGACTAAAGTGTATACTTAAATAGGTGCAGTGGCCGGGATTCGATTCCCAGTGCGCTGTGCTGCCCCTGCCCCTGGGGCAAGGTAAGACAGAAACTGAGACTGGGAGTGGTGATGCACGTCTGTAATCCCAGCATTTGGCAGGCTGAAAACAGAAGCATCACTATGAATCTGATCTGTGTAGTGAGACCCTGTACTAAAGTAAAAAAAAAAAAAAAAAAAAAAAAAAAAAAAAAAAAGCTATTTATTTATGTATTTATTTTTATTTCTTTTCTGTATGATATCCTGGAAGATGAAAAACAATAAATAAAAATTCCTCCTTGAAGTGCAGAAGGAAAAAGAAAATCTTTCTGTGTGTCTTACCTAGTCAAGTTTGTTGTGTGGGTATTTGGTTCAGTTGAGTTTGCTATGGACCAGGACTAAGAGAAATGTGCTATAGGCCATTATGTAAATTATATCTGAAATTTTCTAGTAGTCACATTTAAAAATGTGAAAAAAGATATAAAGTTAATTTTAATCCTACATTTTATTTGACCTAATATGCCCAAGATATTATTGATAGCCATATTATCATTTCATCATGTAATCAATATTAGAAACCCTTCAATATTTTGCTTTTTTTTTGCAACAAATCCCACTCTGTTATGCATTCTCTACCCTCCTTTCAATTTAGATTCACCCCTAAAATGTTCAGTAGACACATTACTAGAGGTTACTACTGCACTGAGTACTTCTGAACTTATTAATATATTTAAATCAGTTTTATTTAACTCATATCTTTTCAAGAAAAAGTATATGAAACACTGGCATGATGCTGAATTCCCTAGGTCTTTTTCTTTCTTTTTTCGCTTTTCAACAAGTCACATAGCATCTGTTGTTAGCATTAATTGTGTTGTCATTTTATTACCACTGAGCTAATCTAGGAATTTTTCAGAGATTAACAAACCTGCATTGTGACAAGTCTGTAGTAAACACCCTTCTCTTTCATGAGTTCATCATGATTTCCTTTTTCCACAATGACTCCATCATCGAATCCAGCGATGACATCAGCATTCCGAACTGTGGACAAGCGATGAGCTATCACAATGGTGGTCCTGCCTTCTCGGGCCTAAGCAAAGAAAAGCAGAGCTTTTGAATCCATTAGCAAGTCCATGTTCAAGTTATATTACTACATACCAATTATCTAGACATCCTAAAACCATCCTAGTTATGGAAAATAGTATCTAACATTAATAAATGTGTAGTCAATGGTTGACTGTATAAAATGATATTTAATAAATACAAACACAAATATAACATCTATATATTAATAATGTATATTCCTCTAAGGAGAGTACTTCATATCTATCAGTCTAAATTTGCAGTAACTATCAAGGACTTATACAATGTAATAAAATCCTACAGCCCAAGAACTGACTAATGAAAATCAAAACAGGCCAGGCAGCTACATTCATATTTATCAGCTACTGACCAGCCTGAAGAATCCTAACTTCGTGTCCTACAGGACAAACAGGATGATAGAAATAAATAATAGGAACGAGGTTGCACAACATACCCTTCAGCATCACACCGATCCAAACGCAAATGGTAGTTCTGCCAGTTATGAGTTCTAGGATTTTACCCAGATTTCTAATCTCATTTTTAATACCTGTGTGAGGCTTAGTTCTTTCATAAATAAAACAGAAATGATACTAGCACTCATTTTTTTTTAGAATAGTTGAGGAAAGTAAATAAAATTGTTCACACCAAGAACTTATACACAGAAAGTGCTTTTCAAAATTTGTTATAAGGATTAGGGAAAAATTGTGTACTATGTAAATGTCATAAAATGTTCAATCTCATTTTTAGTTTAATACAAAATAGAGGTACATCATCAGAAATTTTTTGAAGTATCTTTAATCTTGGTAACTTTCCCAGTGCTTATGGTTTCTGTCATTCTATATTAAATACACACAGAAACATGCACAGAAGGATCAGGGTCAAGATGAATAAAATGAGATGGGTTAAACTCTGAAAAGAAAAGGAATCCAGGTGCGTGAAATGAGGTGGCACTAGCTACAAAGAGGAGACAGTAGCGGAAGAAGTTCTGGATATTTTTGAGAAAAAAAGGGACATGTGAAACACTCTTCCAAAATTTATTCCCTATGGAAAATTATTTTATATAGAACCTTTTAAATCTGCTGTCATTTATAATTTGGTACATAGTTCTACTGTAGAACAGTAAGAAAAGTTAGTCTAGAGAGACTCCAGGCTGTAGTCACCTAATCTCATTCTTGTCCAGTAGCAAACATCGACACCTCTCAGTTCTCCCAGTTTTTCCCCCTGGAAGATGAGGGGTGCAGCCATGAGCAGGACCCTAGATGGAGCAGTGCTGCATCTGACTGGAATGGCCATGTTTTTGCAAATACAAGTTTCTCTTTATGACCAAATATACTCTTTCAAAAATAAAGAAAAAGGGAGATGGAAGCTGCATGAAATTATTTAGGTATAAAACACTAACTCTAGTACCTTTAACAGGCAATAACAGATTTTTCCCTGTAAAGTTAACACCATCCCCCTGAGCCTCCATACTACGAGCCTTTCAGGAGATATTACCTAAAGGAGAAGAAAAAGTTTAAGTATAGACACGGGCCTAGTCCATGTTTTTTCAAGTCCATGTTCTACAACTGAAGCATTGCATCAGGGACACCCCTGAGGCTATATGTTTTCAAGTTCACATACATGGAACCAGTTTTCCTTTTGAATTTTCTTTCCTCATTCAGAGAAGCCATGCACAGCAGCCACTGATGCTGGGACCTTGAATAGGGCCTTTTCCTACAAGGTCTAGCCAGAGCTGCCCAATGTTTCTCCTTAACGAGAGTTGATGCTGTCATGCTTTGCGGATGGTGAAAAATGGAGAAAATAAAGGCACCTGATACAGGTTTCATGAGATCCACTCAGATTCACTCTGCCAGAATGTCATGTGTCCACCTCAAATGTTGCACAGTCCTGGTATTTAGCTCTCAGTTTTAAGAGCCATTATTGGCATTATCAATACCCTAGACATTGATGCAATAGCAGCTCTGGCAGGGCTTCTCCTGGAGACTGACTTTTCGATGTGAGGCAGCATGTAGGGGTCACAGGCCAGCTGCGGGACATCAGTGCGGTCCTCCTTTTAGCAGGCCAGGCATCCCTGGATAAATACCTTTGCTTCAGGTATACTACTGGCTCTGGTGAGAACTGCACTTCAGTAGCTTTAAGTATAGTATTCTCTTGTAGATTGTCCTGCTGGGACTGGTTGTGATTAACAGAATTTCTTCCATAAAGATACTGGTAGAAGATCCTACTCACTGACCAGACATCAACTTTACTTGAGATCTTTGGTGGTTCTGTCCCAACCTTGAACCACTCTGGTGGTGAGTAATGGTAAGTCCCAGCGACGTTAGCTAACCTTGTGACATTAGCTCCATGCTGTCCACTGAACTGTAACTATCTCTATCCATGGTCTTGGA